GCTTTATCATTTTGATATATTTAATTCTCATGCCTATGTGCAACACACTAGTAATAAGGCGCATACCAATAGAAAATGTCGACATTTGATATAATTATATGTGCTGAAATTTATTTTTATTTAATCTTGATTTTCTGTAGTTATAATCATATACATGCTCGGCTAACTGTCTTAAGTGATCGGCTTTCGACAATGATGTGAACAAATATTCAACGAAGGATTTCGGCATCCAAAAAGTTAAAACCTTCATATAATTAATAAAGCAATCGTGAATATCCAGCATTGGTATGAAATTGCACGTGCTCAGAAACAAACGAGTAAACCGTCTCATAACATAGACTGATAAGAACAGAAGTGAATATTTGACTATAAATGGAGAAATCATTTAAACACTCATGCTCTCACACGCACCCATGCCCGCACGCACACATACGCGTGCGCGCGCGCGAACGTACGCACGCGCACACACGCGCGCACGAATTAGGCAGTCATTCTCACTCGCTGCGTTATTATTAATAGCACGATGTTTTTCGCCCACTGCTCGCCGGCAGAGGATGGACATGCAGCTGCGGACACAGCCTAGCCCCCCCCCCCACTCCCCCACTCCCCCACTCCCCCCACCCCCACTTGTGTGTAGCGCTTTACTAACCTCTGAGCCGCACGCGAGCACGGTGAAAGCGCCCGTCGCATAACTGGTCGCGACGCCATCAACGCGTATTAGTGCTTGTGTTTGTCAGCCGACGAGCGCCGCCGACCGCCCACCGGCGGCCGACAATGCAGGTGTGACGAGTTTGCGCAGGAGAAGGAGGGCGTCGCATTGTGTCCGGCATCGACGGCGCTCACCCTTCACGAGGAAACCGCGAAAATCCGGCCAACAGTTACTAGCTCTTCGCAGCTTGCGCGAGGCGGCAAAGTAATTATCAACACGCAAACCGCGTACAACACGCTCGCGCGCACGCATGCACACACGGGCACGCGGGAGAGAGAGAGATGTGTGTGTGTGTGTGTGTGTGTGTGTGTGTGTGTGTGTGTGCGTGCGTGCGTGCGTGCGTGCGTGCGTGCGTGAGTGAGTGCGTGCGTTCGTGCGCGTGCGCGCGTGCGTGTATGTGTGTGTGTGCGTGCGCGTGTGCGTGTGCGTGTGCGTGTGGCGTGTGCGTGTGCGCAGTCGGCCGCGCGCGTGTGTGTATGTGTGTGTGGTGTGTAATCTTGTATGTGTGTGTGGATGTGTCGTGTGTGTGTGTGTGTGGTGTCGTGCCGTGCGTGCGGTGCGTGCGTGCGTGCAGTGCGTCGCGTGAGTGAGCTGCGCTGCGTTTCGTGCTGTTTGTGAAAATGCACACATATCGTGTGTGTTGTGTGTGTGATGTGTGTTGTGTGTGTGGTGTGTGTGTGTGTGTGTGTTGTGTGTGTGTTGTGTGTGTGTGTGTGTGTGTTGTGGTGTGTGTGTGTGTGTGTGTTGTGTGTGGGAGGAGACTCGATAACTGCGAGACATGGACAGGCTGGTGTCGATGATGCCAGGGAGAGCGGGATCTAATAGCTTGTTGCGCCGTGTTAGCAAAGCGCTGAATGCGAAACATTGGCGAGTCGGCACGACGCCTGGTGACACGGCGCCTCGTCTGCTATAGTCTTCCTAAAGGGCGCGTCAGATGTGTTAGAAGGTCCTCTGTGATAGTAGCCCCCGCCATGCAAGGCTATTTTCAAGACTGGCTAGCAATAATATAAAATATGCGTATATATATATATATATATATATATATATATATTGATTCATATTTAAGTTATATGCCGTCTGGTGTTATAGTTTCCCAAACATATACTGGCGCGCATTTAATATATTGTGCATTAACAGTCAGCAACACATCCTCTAGCATTAGCCCTGTTTTTGTCTCTGAAAAATCACGTCATATACTGCATGCACTTGCGTATTTTGGTGATGGTTTGCCTCATGGTTGCGTTAATAGTCTCAATATGTAACAGTCCACAATATAAGTCGCAGTGTAACTATGCGTCAGCTTATTCATCAATCATGAATAACTGAGATTTTTGAGAGGCCCCGAAATTTCTCTCACCAATCACGTAGTAATTATTAATCAAACGTTTACTTGTTTCTCAGCTCCTAATAAAATAAACGATATAATAACATTTATACTGCTGATACTACTACTACTACTACTATACTACTACTACTCTACTACTAGCTGACTACTCTACTACTGATGCTCCTACTACTACTACTACTGACTACTCTACTGACTACTACTACTATTCTACTATTACTGACTACTCAGCTACTACTATTACTACTACTACTACTACTACTACTACTACTACTACTACTACTACTACTACTACTAACTTACTACTACTACTAATAATAATAATTATTATTATTATTATCATTATGCCAATTAATTTCATAAGTCGGGGCATTCCCGTGTTGGTGAAATATTATGTCTGACAGCAGCAAACGTAAGATCGTATAGCTAGTAGGGCTAGACTAAGACATTAGGTAGCACACTTGAACAGTAGTAGTTGATTGTGAAGCAGTCTACCTCCGTTCATAGCATGAACACATACAAGCACGCACACGCACATGTATACCTTTGTAGCACGCGCAGAAACACGCATATAGTACGAACATACACATGCAAATGTACACGCATGCACGCGTGCACGCACACGCTCACACACACGCGCACGAACGCCCATACACATATACACATACATGAATGTATTCATAGCACGCTCGTATACACGCATGCATCCTTCTATCCATACGCACGCACGCATGCATGTACGCACGCACGCACGTATGTACGCATGCAGCCTGCTATCCGTCCGCACACACGCACACACACATGCATGTACGCACGCAGGTATGTTTGCATGCAGTCTGCTGTCCGCACACACGCATGCAGCCTGCTATCTGTTCGCACGCACGCACGCACGCACGCACGCATGTACGCATACAGCCTGCTATCCGTCCGCACGCACGCACACACGCATGCATGTACGCGCTCACGCACACACGCACGCACGCACGCACGCACGTATATGTACGCATGCAGCCTGCTATCCGTCCGCACACACGCACGCACGCACACACGCACGCACGCACGTATGTACGCATGCAGTCTGTTACCCATCCGGACACACGCACGCACGCACGCACGCACGCACGCATGCATGTGCGCACACGGAGCCGAGAAAACGGGGGCGGCCGCGTTCGTCTGTCTGGCGCAAACACTTCACGTCTGCCTTGAGTGTTTCTGACTCGGCAGGAGACGATTGTCAGCGCTAGACAACGACGGGGCGACAAACAAAGCCCGCCGGGGGGAAGTAGGTGGAGCCACTTAGGTGTCCACTAAGCGCTCCTGAATAGCTGGGAGGGGCAGCGCGAAAACTCGTCAACACGGGTTTGTTTTATCTGATAATGATGGAGAGAACGATAGACGCGAATGACGTGCGAACGGGCTGCTTATGAGGGTATCTTAGCAGGCATCGAGTTGCCTGCTACTATATAGCACAGTGTCACCTTTCCTTCCGCGCGTATTGTGCGAAATAAGAACCCCTAATCAGGGAAAAACGCGCCAATTTTGCGTTATATTTGCACAGGAATGCTTTCCTATTACATACTACAATGGAGTGCGTGAAGAATTGAGGTGTGTGGGAAGTGGGCGCGACACTTTCTTAGTTTTTTTTTGTCAGACTCCCCCTCTCATCTCTCTCTATCTCTCTGTCTCTCTCCTTAGCCCTCCCTCTCCC